GCCAGAACCTCAGACCCGGTCCCAGCCAGAACCTCAGACCCGGTCCCAGCCAGAACCTCAGACCCGGTCCCAGCCTTCTCGCGGCCACTTTCCCTGTTGGTGCAGTTCCGCTCACAGCCAGCAGGGGCGCTGTTGGCTCCCGGCCGGGCAGGGCAGGTGCGATGATTCCCCTGCGGCTGCAGGGGGCGCTGTGGCGCGAGCTCGGCCGCCTCTCCACACAGCAATGGCCAAAACGGGCTGCAGCAGGAACTGTGGAGCGGCAGCTGGAGCTGCAGGGATGAGCAAACTCCAGAGTAGCAAATGAAATGTAACAGAAACTCCACAGTTGTAGCATGAGCTAAGGAGCGTCCAGGCAGGCAGGGGTGCTGGGTTACAGTTGTCTGGAAAATTAATCCACAAACACCAGAGGTTTATGTCCAAAAAGGAGACAGAGGAGTCCTTTTACTTTATTCAAATAAAGGGAGAGGCCATGGGGCATTCCCCTGGGGTCTCTCAAATTTTTGGAGGGCGCAGCCTCCTTTTTATCCTAATTCCTTGCCGCTTGTCCCTTCTCTTTCCCCATGGGCTGAGGGACTTGAGAGGTACAGACTTCCTGGAAAGCCTAATATCTGAGACACCCCCACCGCCCTTCCCCAATGCATAACCCTATTCTTAATTCTGAACTCTTGTGGAATTCGTAGTGTTTCCTCAGTGTCTTTTTCATCCTTCAGTGGAACCCATCCCATTGTTTCTGTTATCTCTCAGTGATAGTCTTATCAACAGACCCACAGCTTGTTTGTAAATACAAACCCGTCATTCCTCTCAGTGTAGTGAAAACCCGGAGCAGGGGCAGAGAAGCGGCAGGGCTGGGCAGGAGCCGCCTGGCTCTGGACCACTTGGAGAGGCTCCCTTGGAGGCAGAGGGGTCTTGGGGATCCCGGGGTTTCCCCTGAGGCACCTGAGTAGATGGTGAGGGTCCTTTGTTTGGTGAGGCAGATGTTAATAAGGTCCCAATACAAAGGCCGCCCTCAGGAGCGGAGTTTCACTCACGGTAGGAGGCAGCAGGAGACGGCATCCCGCAGTGGTGGCGAATTCTCCCCACGGTGACCGCAGCCTGCCTCTGATGTCGACAGCGAGAGAGCTAATGGCCCTTCCTGCTAGACCAGATCTCTCTGCCCTTCCCAAGAGAATGCCCTCAGCTGCCGTAGCAGCCAGCTGCACTCCTCCCCCTTCTCCTCGGCCATATCCTTTGTGTCTCTTAAGTATCGGTCGCTATTGTCTCTTAGCAATAAATGGGAGAAAACTCACTAAGAGAAAAATGGAAAAATCCTAACCACCACCACCAACAAAAGATAGCAGAAAGAAGTGTAATAATGAACCTTGTAACTTAACTTACTGATGGGATCACAATTCCATGGGCATGGCTCCAGGCAAATCCAGCCTGCACAGGTGTGCAAATCTGGGTGTCCCAGACAATTGTGTGTGCCAAGGGATGAATGTGAGTACTAAAGCCATGTGGAGTGGAAGGACTTGGGGAGGACAAGGTGTCAGACAAACCAAAAAGGTGCAAAAGGAGCTGGTCATGGGTAAAGTGGAACTAGTCAGTGAGCTTGGCCAAGGCAGCCAAGCTCCAGGCAGGGATTTCAGGCAGGTAGAGGGTTCACACAGGTGTCTACAAAGCCACCTGGCAGCAGCTGCCCTTGCATTCTGCTTTATTTGTGCTCAGCTGGTGCCTTCCAGAGTGATGTGACACAGAAGAGTGGAATGCCTTGTGTTCCCTGGGACTGGGAATAAGGCCATCATCCCTCAACACATGAAGAGTTGCCTGGAGAACAGAGAGGTGGTGAGATACAAAGCCCAGCACATGCTGTTCCCCATTTACCAGTTGAGCAGTCAAGGTGGCACATGCCCTGCAAACATCTCCACTATGAACCCATGCAGCAGGACAAAACTGGGCAAACAGCCAGGACAGGAGCCAGACCTCCCCTTTTCACAGAATGCAACCTTGACATGCAGAGCATGGGCCACTGCTCTGCATCTGGTGTCCCCAGGTGCCATCCCAAAGGGCTGGAGATGCCTGTGGTGCCATGGCCCAGGAGGTCTCTGAGCGTCCTGCACAGGGAGATACAGACTCCTCCAGCACTCAGGGGCTCTTATCACCCACCTGCAGCTGGGCCAAGGGAGCAGAGATGCAGTAGACCCTGTGATGTAAACAGGACTGGGCACTGCAGGAACAGGAGGAATTGCCAAATTGGATGAGGTGTTGGATGAGGTCCCATGTGGGCTGGCAGCTTCAGGGCATAGCAGGTCATTGCCCAGAGGAGGGGAGGTGGAAGCTCAGTGGGGTGGTACCCAGACAGACTCCCAGCTCTGTCCTCCAGGCCATCCAGCCCCCTGGACTGTGCCCTGCTCACACAAACAAACTGGAAATACTGGGCAAGGTCAGTCCACCCCTGAGCAGATGAGGGGATCAGAGGAGTGGGGAGCAGACTGAAGACCTTCCAAACCGTCCCAAACCTGCTTTCCTGGAGCCAACCCGCAGGCTGAACAGGTGAGTACTGGCTGTCTAAAAAGTGCTGAATACTGTGACCCTTCCATCATTTCTTCTCTGCTTTATCATCTTCAGCCCTTGTGTCTTGCAATTCCCACTTTCAGAAGTGAATCCTGTTTTCTCTCCTGTTGATTGACTGTGGTGTGCTGGATTGATGTGCTGGCATCCAGGATGGAGAAAGTGAGACCCTGATTGATGAGGTGGAGGACATGAGTGGAAGAGGTGAGTTTTCAGAAGGGGAGGAAGGAATTTCTTTCTCTGGTGAGAAGAAAATGCATCCTGCTTTTGCTGTGATACAACTATTGGAGGTCAAAACACTGGACCTTGTCCCCAGAGTAGACTTTTCATGGGTTGGGACTTGGTGGCTGCAATACTCCCAGCTGAACTCTTGGTGCTTCTCTGTAGACCCAGCTCCAGCACCAAAGGCTCCTGAGCTGACATCCTTGGCCCTCTCCATTGCTCACAGAAAGAGACGTGGATTTGGGGCCATGGGTAATGGGTCTCGGAGTAACATCTACCATGGTTGGCACTGGTTTGTGCCCTGACCTGCCTGTTCTCCTCTTTCAGCACCAGAGACACCCCAGCTCAGGTCCAGGTGGCTGTACTTCAGGTGTGCACCCACCCATTCAGGTGCCTCCTCCTCCAGGAAACTGAGGTCCTCTTGGCCAGGATGTGTGCAGGCCCCTGGGGCAAGGACAGGATTGGGGCAGCAGGGAGCATGGGACAGTCCAGCTAGGGGGGGTTTTCACACTGCAGGGAAAAGGAACTCACCCTGTCCCTTCTCTTGCTGGGGTGGGTGCAGCCCCAGGGCTGCCTGTTCTGAGCAGCTTCTCCTCCTCTGTCCCCAGCTGATGTGACTCTGGACCCAGACACCGCCAATCCCTTCCTCATTCTGGCCAATGACCAGCGAGGGGTTGGACGGGGGGATGAGTGGACCTTGCTGCCAAACAACCCGGAGCGGTTTGACACGGAGCCATGTGTGCTGGGCAGCCAGGGCTTTGCTGCGGGGAGACACTGCTGGGAGGTGGAGGTGGTCAAGGCAGGGGACTGGTGGGCCGTGGGAGTGGCCCAGGAGTCTGTCAAGAGGAAGGGGGTCCTCAGTTTTACACCCCAGGAGGGGATCTGGGCTGTGGGGCAGTGGTTTGGACAGTACCATGCTTTCAGTGATCCTGACTGGACCCCCCTGCACCTTACCTGCCACCCCAGGGCCATCCAGGTCTGCCTGGACTTCACAGACAAGCAGGTGACTTTTGCTGATGCTGAGAGTGAAGCCCCAATCTTTGCTTTTTGCTTGGCATCATGTGCTGGGGAGAGGCTGTGCCCGTGGCTCTGGGTGGGGAGGGACTCATGGCTCAAGCTGTGCCCCTGACAGGGAGGGAAATTGGGGGGAACGGGAGAGATTGGAAAGGCAAATGTCATCACCTTGAGATTGGTTCTGGGAACTGAGAGGGTCATGCATCCTGCTGGCTTCTCCTCACATGGATCCTCTGGCCACCAAGGGGAGGACTGGCAGGTCATGGAGCTGGGTGCCAAAACAGAGCCTCCTTCAATCCCCCACCCCTCAGCTGGGACTGTAGGGACAACAGGGAGCACAGAGACTTGGTGCAGGGAGGAGCTTGGTGCCTGGTGTTCCCATGGGAGCGACCACCACTGAGTGCCAGGGCACTGCAGAGCTGCTCTGTACGAGGCCTTGGAAAATATAGCAGAGTCCAGCTCCTCCAAGGGTGCTGGAGTAGTGCCCTGCCTCTGGCTTTTTTTCAATTAAGTTAAAAAACCTCAAACACAGCTGGATACTCATGATAACACTTATCTTCCCCATGCAACCAAAGCCTCTCCTTGCCTGATGTGCACCAAGCACATTTCTTGCAGCAGAGCACTGGTAGCAGTGCAGGAGCAGCAGTTATGGGCAGCCCAGAAAGGAAAGCACAGTGCTGAGCTGTGTCTGAAATCCACAGGAGAGGCAATTCCCACAGATCTGCCATTTTCTGATCTTGCCCCATCAAGGTCCCACCTCACAGGATCCTGCTAAATTCTATCCTTAGGAGAGGAGAAGGTGGATGTAGATGAAGGGGGACATTGCCTGGGTCCAGCCTAGATTTCATCTCCAAACACTTTTCTGGCTGGACCTTCTTTAGTGCCACCTCAGTTGTCACTGTTGTGGTGGCATGTGGACACAGGCAACAGTATTGGTCTTCCTTCTCTACTCCAGAAGCTGCAAGGAGTTGCAGCACTGGGTCAAGCCCAGGTATCTGCCCCCTAAGCCTCTTCCACTGTGGTAGCACCAAGACTAGGGAAACCCAGGGATCTCTGTTCCCAGTGAGGTACTTCCTACTCTCCATGGGCAGAAGCCTCAGACTGTCTTGGTTTTGCTTGGGATAGAGTTAACTTTCCTCTTAGTAGCTGGCACAGTGCTGGGTTTGGGATTTAGGGTGACAATAATATTGACAGCAACAACCAAACCATCAGTCATGTGGTGTTTACCCAAGCCAAGAACTTTTCAGTGTGTCATGCTCAGCCAGCAAGGAGCTGCACAAGAAGCTGGGAGAAGCTCAGCCAGGACAGCTGACCTGAACTGTCCAGAGGGATATTCCACACCACAGGATGTCTTGCCCAGTGTGTGAACTGGGGGAGCTGCCTGGAAGGGGCCAATCACTGCTGGGGGACAGGCTGGGCACAGATCAGTGGGTGGTGAGCAACTGTATTGGGCATCACTTATTCCACTTGGGGTTTGTATTTTTTTTCATTACAATTATTATTATCATTATGATTATTATGTACTACTTTGTCTCAATTATTAAACTGTTTTTACTTCAAATAGAAAGTTTTTTTTTTCCTCCCCCCCTCCCCCATCCTCCTTGGAGGGTGGTGTGTGACTGTGCAGTGTTGTCAGCTGGGGTTACACCATGACAGAGGTTCACAGCAGAAGGCTGGTGTAAGGAGACGGCAGATAGTTAGTTCTGTATTTTGTCTTTGTAATGCTAAACACCCCAAAAGACTTGTGCTGTGTATTTAGGGACACCTACCTCAATCAAGAAGAAAATCCTTTCTGAAAGCCAGCTCAGTCCCTCAGACTGGAGAAAAGTTGGGTTTTCAACAGATTGGTGTCTGGGAACTTCCTCACTGGAATTTTGTGGTTTGGAGAAGGCAGATTTTGTGCTTTTTTGTGTTTCCTTTTTGATATGCCCCCCAAAAATGTAATTTTGAAAAATCAGCTCTCTGGGAGCTGAATTGTGTAACTGCAGCATTTGTGTGAGAAATAAACAATTTCATGCAGAATTGCACCACAAAGACTCAGGAGAGTTTAAATTCAGCTCTCGTGCTAAAGATCTCTGCATGCCAGAGCCACAATGGGTAGGTAGGAAGGCTTAAGGAACACCAGGGTCCTTGAGCAAGGCTGGACTCACATGGGCTCTGAGTGGTTTTGGGATGACAGTGGGGGCCAGGAGTGGGAACAGACAGCACATCACAGCAGTGACTGCTGCCTCCTCAACTGGTGCCTGGACACGGAGGCCACAGAGCAACTCCCAAGCTCCCAAAGCCCTTGGTCCACAGCAGGGTGTGATCAGACCCCTGGAACCCTCCTGCTCCCACAGAAAAAGGCTGCAGAACTGGGCAGTGGGGGCACCCCAATGAACATGCTCTTCTCAGCATTGGTCTGTCGACATGCGCCAAACAAAACCTGCCTGGATTTGGCACATCAGCTATGCAACTGTGACTGAACACCCTTCCCATGAAACTGTTTCCTTTTCCCCACTGCCCCCTTTCTCTGGGACATCTGCTCTTTTTACACTGTTCTTGCTATTGCAGATGCTGCTTTTTCTCTCCCCCACCCTGTCAGATTGCTGTGTGGCATCACAGTTTTATTTTAAAGGACTGGCTGAGCCAACCAGGGCACTCCCTTTTTTTAAACTTTTTTTTTTTTTTAAAGATAAACAAGTCCAGAAAACCTTTGATTTGACAGCTTATCCAGGAAACTCATCCAAAGTCTCGCCCAAGGCTAAAGCCTTGCCCAGGGCCTTGGAAATGCATCCAACTTTGGTTGCAGTGCTTTGAGTGGCACTTTAAATGAGCAGCTTCACAATTTCCAACCCCTCACTGCAAGTATGGTGTGACCAGCTTTGCAACACGGATCCAGGGCCGGGGGCCAAGGTTGCAGGGGATGTTGGGCCTCCTCACTGCCCCACAGAACAGGAAATGATGTCTGCCCAAGTCTCTGCCCCAAGGTTCCACGCTCTACAGCCCCTGCCGTGGTGCTGGCCCTGGATGACTCTCAGAGCCAGTTGGCAGCGAGCACTCAGAGCAAGGCTCCTGCCCTGCAGCTAGCTGCCAGCAGCTTTTGCACACTTGGGCACAGCTCAGACACAGCCTGGACACAGCATGAACACAGACACAGCTCAGACACAGCTCTGACTCAGACGCACTCGAACACAGCTGGACACACCCCACCATGACCCAAGCAAGAGCGTGGGTTTGCAGACATGTCCACATCTCCCACAGCCCTGGAGCAAGGGGCTGGGCTGGAGGGTGGTGGGCAGGCCTGGGTCACATAACTCACAGGAGCAGCATCAGGAGCCTCGGTGGGGTGGCATCATGGCAGCACCAGGGTTTCCCCATGCAGCCCCAAACACATCCCCAGCCCAGCCAGGGGCCAAAGGACTCTTGACTTGGCCCAAACATTATCACAAGCTTCGGTACACTGACAGGGAACTGCCCAGAAATGACAAAAGCCCTGGGTTTTGTCCAACTTTGAAACCCTCTGCTGGGGCCCTGGGGGCTGGCCAAGGCAGCTGCCCCAGGCAGGAGGTACCAGGGTGCTCTCAGGGAGGCAACCCTGGCTTCCTCCAATAACAACACAACAGCCCAAAGTTTGTCGCACTTTTATTTACATCATTGCACAGCCCGTTTCCCCAGAATGCACTGGAATTGGTGGGTCAGACAGCGATGAGCTCATGGATGTTCACTCACATCCATGAACATCTCTGGGAAGGAGGACAAGACTCAAAGAGTCACTATTAGATCTTACAGGGGCACATGCAACAACTCCCATTATTTGCAATGACAATAAAGCCAAGGATGCTGAGCGCAGCCGCATCCACACAGGGCTGGGCCCCCACTGCCTCAGCCAGGGGCTTCTGGCTTTCACAGTTGCATTTTTGGATTGACAGTGGGTTTCTTAACTGGAACACTGGCTCCATTAAGTCCTTAGCCTGAGGATGTGCTGTGGGAGAGAGCATTCCTCATCACCTGCCAGAATTTGGTGCATTGTGGGGCCAAGCTCCTGGGAGGCAGCCAGGGCTGGGAAGGTTCAGCCATCTCCCCTCCCCCATTTTTCTTCACTGGTGATGTCCTGGTGACAAGGGGGCTGTTGGGAAGGGGCTGAAGGAAGGGGCACCCAGGACAAGGCACAGAGCAGTGGTGCAGAGCCTGCTGCCATGGAAGGGGTGTGCAGAGCAAGGAGCGCCTGTGTGGGAATGGGATGGGACTGGAGCAAGGACTGGGACTGGAGCTGGGCTGCAGCAGCTTCTCCATCAAGAGTACCAGGAGCAGAGTAATCCCTGCATGAGTGCATGACTTAGAAAAGGGCAGACACCCATGAGCATGTGGAAGAAGGGAAGGGACAGTCGGGTGGCTGACTAAGAAAGGGGAGCGGAGATGTGAAGTCTGGCTGTAGCAGAGGACATTCACCCCGCAGTCACACCAGCCCCTCACACTTGAAAGAGAGACTGGTTCAGAGCAGCCCCCAGGGCACAGAGAGGCTGCTGCAAGATGTACCAGGGTATCCCCAAGCTGCACCAGAACCCCGGGAGAGGAGGTAAGAGGTGAGGATACAGAGACCAGGGCCCAGGGCTGAGCAATCCTGTTGGGGAAGATGGCACACAGGTCGCTGCTGCTCAGGCCACCAGTAACTTCCAGTTCAGGGTGAGGGAACACATAAGGAAACACATCCTGCTTTGCAGCTAGAGAGGAGGAGGAGGTGCTTTGAATTCAGGAAATTACAGATGTCCATCTTGCAGGGCATTGCACTGATCCACTTGCTTTCAGCAAAGGGGCACAGGGACATAGTGCATGAGCACCACACAGGCCCCTCAGAACCTGCCTCCTGCCTGCTCTCTACCCTCACCACTATGGAGCCAGAGCCCAGGCTCCAGCAAAGCAGCTGCACACACCTCTGGAGCACTTGGCAATGCAGTGTCACTGCCAGCATCCTCACAGCCTGTTCCACTCAGGAGGCTCAGGAAAGCTCAGCACCAGGTACAAGCACTGTCTGGCAGGGTGAGGAGGTGGCAGAGGCAAGGACAAAAGCCAAACCAGGGGGACTCTTGGCAGAGGGGGCACTCCAAGACAGAGGGCTTTGAGAGCTGCATGTGCTGGAAATGCAGGTGAAAGGAGGAGGAGGAGGAACACTGGCCCCTCAGGACAAGGGACCCAGAGCCTGTTCTCTGGGAATCAGCAAACTGGGGGAGTTTCACTAGAGGATACAACAGGCAGGCAGCGCTACCAGGGATAAATCCAATCCCAGCAGCTCCTCTGGAATGTGCAAATAAAGCGCAGAGACAGCCAAGAGCACCTGCATCCTGCCAGCACTGCAGGGCATGGCCTGTCCCCTAAGGTACATGTGAAACTGATGCTACGGGAGGTCCAGCCTCAAGGTGGCAAAAGGACATCAGCAAACAGAGACTCCAACTCCCACCTTTGGGTTCAGAAAAGCTCCTTTCTCAATCTTTTCAAAGCAAAAGGCAATGGTGGGTTTAGCTAGTATGGAGCCATCTCTCCCCACCCTTGCATCCTCCATCTACCTTTGCCAGACAGACCAAGGGCTGAGTGCATCGGAGTCCTGGGGATGAGCCAGGATCTCAAGGAAAGCATTTTGTGAGATCACGTCTGCACCGGAAAAGATTCTCTCATTCTGAAACTGAATTTGAAATTCTCAAAATTACAGTACTTTACAATACAAAATGTCTCCATTCAGTATTATGTCATTTTACTCCTTCTGGGATTATAATAATTATTAAAAACACTCAACTTTCTAGAAAGGACAGAACACCACAAAAGTGACCAAAGAGTAACAGGAAGGCTGCTGCAGTATATCAAAACCAATTTAGTGCAAAGGAGAAGGGGACTTTCAAGAATGGTTGATGAAAAGTGTTCTTCATATGCTCATTTGGAGAAAAGGCATTGATTTAACCTCTGAATGAGATCAGGTTACCAGCTTCTATCCTGAAGCTTAGAACATCAACACAAAAGGATTGAAACACAATATGTATGGCCATTAAAAAATAATATTATGTATAGATATATATATATAGAGAGAGAGAGGGAGATGTTTTCCACATATGGTATTTTGTTATAGGAAAGTGTCCCTGCAGACAGGCATTTTCTGCCATCAGGCTCTTTTGGGCCATTTCACACACAGATGTTGATTATGTGTCTCTTTGCCAAGGTCTAAAGCATGTGCTGAGCACAGAGTCCCTTTGGGTGGGATGATTGTTTTCCAGTGCCCCCACAGCAGCCACATTCCCTGGGCCTGTGGGGACACTCAACCCTCCACCTTGGCCGGCTGCGGGATGGCTCAGACAGTGGTCTCATCCGCGGTCTTCTTCATGAGCTTGGCGGAGAAGAGGGAGTGGGGCATGGGATGAGGGCTCCGCGAGGCTGGGATCATCAGGCGGACTTTCTGGTTGGTCCTTCGCCACTCCGAGTACAGCTGGCAGTGGTAGCGGAACGAGACCTGGCGGGCGAGAACGCGGCGCTCTGTCACCAACCCCTGCCACTCGTGACGCAGCACACACGGGGACAGCCCAATGCCAGCACCCCTCTGCCTCTGGGGACCTCTCATCCCGAGGCAAGGGAGACAGCACTGACCTCGGCTCAGTTTGGGGCACTCCACGTCCCCAGCCTCTGACAAGCAATGAATCCCTTCCTGGTGACACCAGGCTGAGTGGGGCACAGACAAAGGGGCCTTCTGGGCAGCACCAGCAGAGTGGAACGGGGTTGGCTCAGCTGGGTTTAGGTCCAGACTGGTGAAATCTGGTGGGAATGAGCTATAACACATCCAGCCTCAGGCTGCAGCCAGCATGCTGGGTGAGCAAAACAAGGGTCTGAATCCAACCAGCCTCCTCCCATCTCACAGATCCCAAGGGACCTTCGTCAACCTGCACAAAACCCTTCCCTCCTTTGTCTGAAACAAGAGGACAGCAGCTGGACTCGTTTTTTCCTGATAACAATGTGGCCAGGGAGACTTGCTTACC